TGCTTCACCATATTTTCTAGTCTTTGGCTTAGAATGAAGTTGGTTTGGAAACATATTCAGCGATGCTTCATCTCCTGCTTTGCGTTTGTGTGGGGGCCCCGTGCTAGCAGTGTCCAAGCATTGTTGTCTTTTTTTTCCCTTTTCATGCCGTGCCATGGCTCTGCGCCCCCCCTAAGGGGCGGGCCCCACACTTTGGGAAGGTCTGCATTAGAGGGTTTCAGGCCCTCAGGCCACCCTCATGAAGTCTCTTTCTGATTGTTTGATCAGAGACATTTGCAACAGTGTCATGCAGAAGACCAGTTTTTTGCCTCTGGCAGTGCTCGTTCTGTTCCTTCTTGGAACTTCTACGGCCCTGTCCAGCTCTCCTGAGTAACTTCCTGTCTCCTGGAATGTCCCCCATGCTTTTGATACTGTCCTGGGGAAAACCTCCTGGCAATGGCGGATGTTGATATGCCATCCTGGTGGAGCTGGACTACCTGTGCAACCTGTGTAGGGTGCTTTTGTGTGACAAATATACCTCTAGGTGCTGTTAACAGATAGGATTTGTAAAAACAAAACAAAAAAAAAGATGGCGTTGAAGTCTTAAAAGAGTCACAGGTAGGTAACTAACCCCTTCAACTTGGGTGTGAGCACAACTGTAAGAGTGAATTTTTACTCTTATGTTTTTTGCATTGTGACTGTTCCGAACTTTGTGATGTTGAAGGTAAAATGGACCAGAAAGCTTTCACTGAATGCTTTATATTAGCATGACGTGTTGTCTAACAGTGATCTTCTCTTTCTTTCACAAGTCAGCTCTAAATCCAACTTCTTTTGCCTTCAGGTTGCTGTCAGCGGTGTTGAGGACGTCAGAAGTGGAGTCCAGGGCAACCAGAGCGAATCTGACGGAGCTTTTGAGCCCGCAAATGGGGAAGGACATCGTGTGGTTCCTCAGACGATGGGCTAAGACGTATCTGCTCGTGGACGAGAAGCTCTATGGGCAGGTATAAGGCTGAGCTAACCGATCGCTTCATCAATCAGATCTTTTCTACACTGTCGCTGTAATACACGTTTTTGCACCAGTCGTCTTCTATCCAGCTCATCCTTTTCTACCCTTCCTCAGATCAGCATCCCCCTCAGCACAGCGTTTGGTGCCGACACAGAGGGGGCCCAGTGGATTGTGGGATATCTCCTGGAAAAGGTGATCAACAACCTGACCGTGTGGAGCTCAGAGGCTGAGCTAGCCAACGACACCGTGGAGCTGCTGGTGACGCTGGTAGAGAAGCGGGAGAGGTAAGAACATGTTACTCTTTGATAGACAATTAATGTTTTCAGGTACTCGGAAATAAATGTTCAGTATTTAAACTGTCGTCAGACTCTAACAGACCCATTGCCTCCGTCTCCATTCAGGGCAAACATCGTGGTGCAGTGTGAGAGCTGGTGGAACCTGGCGAAGCAATTTGCCAGCCGCAGCCCACCTCTCCACTTGCTGTCCAGCTCCGTGCAGAGGACTCTGATGAAGGCACTGGTCCTGGGAGGCTTTGCACAAATGGACTCTGATGCCAAGCAGCAGTACTGGGCTGAGGTGTGCTGATACGTGTAGAAGTACTTAAGTGATTTACTGATTAATGATTGTTTAGTAGTAGTGGTTGCACTGGGGGGGAGGGGGAAGCAAAGTAAATGAAGTCTTAGTACAGTGAAACAGGAGAATTAGCAGAAGAGTAAAATGTGGCTGTGACATTTTGGTAATGAGCGGCGTTGCTAAGAAGCAGTCAGTGTGTTTCTCTGTGCATCGGATAATTGTTTCAAGTGCTTGTGACGCATTAAGTTGTTTTCCCGTATAAAGTGGGTTTGATCTGTTTGTTTGCAGCCTGCTTCTCTAACTACTTGCAGTTTTATCTTTTTGTAGCATCGTCGCTGTATTTTTATATCTCTGTCAAATCTAGCAAGCCAAAGCTTTTTGCAATTCTTTTTAACATTACAGCTCTAAAAATCATAAATTTATCCTTTCAAAAAAATATCAAATTATTTAGTCCTGTTTAGAGATGAGGAGCTGCACAGAGTTCAGCGAGCTATGAGGATTAGGACAGATGGATGAAGTCGATAATATTCCTGCGTTTAGTCTTTCTCCCGTGTGTATAACATGATCCTCGCCGTGATCCTGGAGGTCCTTTTCTTAATAAGCTGACAGTAGTAAACGGGGGTGCAAAGCCACAATGACTCCAAAGTAATTATGGTGAGTGAAGGAGTGAGGTCGCAGCTGTCGGTCTGTACAGCTGTTCTGTCTGAAGTCAGATCGCTCTGTGTTTGGAAGTAGAGCGAAGCACCTGACAACTGATCAAACACGGCTTTGGTTGATCTCCACTGTAGTGATGTTTGTTTACATGGACTCTTTTATCCTACTTCAAGTCACTTTGTTTGATTGAGTTCAGACTAACCCTTTAAAGGGTTACAAGGAGGGTCTTGAATATCCTCCACGCAGTTACACCATCACCAGTCTGAAACGTCACAGCAGAAACTGAGACTCATCAGACTCATCACCAAATTTGGTGAGCCTGACATTACATCAACAAGGCATATGTGCCCAGAGAATCTCCTCTCTTTTTTGTGGATCATCTTCTGTAAATCCAGAGATGGTTTTGTTGGGAAAATCCTGCTAGCAGTTTCTCAAATGCTCCAACAAGCACGTCGGACTCCAACAGCCATGCCACGTTCAAAGTCCCATAAACCACCTTTCATCCCCATTCTCGGTTGAACATAAGAAGGTTATTTTGCCAGTATCTGCAAGTGCAATGGG